GCCTGTAGTCCCAGCTACTTGGGAGGCTGAGGCAAGAGGATCAACTGAGGCCAAGAATCTGAGGTTGCTGTGAGCGATGATGCTGTGGCACTCTACTGAGGGTGACAGAGTAAAACTGTCTCAAAGAAAAAAGAAAAAAAATCCACACACATAAACTTACTACAAAGCTAAGTAATCAAGACTGAATGGTACTAGCATGAGGATAAATGTATTTTTTATGGAAAAGAATTAAGAGTCCAGAAATAAACCCTTATATTTATGATCAATTGATTTCCAACAAGGGTGCCAAGAATATTCAGTGGAAAAAAAACAGTTTTTTCAACAAATGGTGCTGGTACAACTGGATATCTACATGCAAAAGGATGAAGTTAGACCTCTACTTCATATTGTATACAAAATTCATTCAAAATTAATTAAAGACCTAAATAAAAGGGTGAAAGCTATTAGAAAAATTAAAAGAAAATAAAGATGTAAATTTTCATGATCTTGAATGAAGAAACTGTTTATATAACAAAAAACATAAGCAATAATAGGAAAGAAATAGATAACTGGGAATTAATCAAAATTAAAAACTTTTGTACTTCAAAGAACATCATCAAGTGAGTGAAAAGACAACCCACAGAATGGGAGAAAGTATTTGAAAATTATATATTGGATATAAGTCTAACATCCATAATATATAAAGAATTCTCATAATAGAAATAGTCAAAAATGCAAATCCAATTACAAGATTCACAAAGGATTTGAACAGACATTTGTCCAAAGAACATACACAAATGGCCAGGTGGGGTGGCTCACACCTGTAATCCTAGCACTCTGGGAGACCAAGGCAGATGGATTGCCCTTTGTTCATAGGTTCAAGAGCAGCCTGAGCTAGAGCAAGACCCCATCTCTAAAAATAGCCAGGTGTTATGGCGGGTGACTATAGTCCCTGCTACTCGGGAGGCTGAGGCAAGAGAATTGCCTGAACCCAAGAGTTTGAGTTTGCTATGAGCTACGATGCCACAGCACTCTACTGAGGGCAACAAAGTGAGGCTCTGTCTCAAAACAAACAAACAACAACAAAACATACAAATGGTCAATAGCATGTAAAAAGATATTTAACATTACTGGTTATAAGGAAATACAAATCAAAACCACAATGAGATACCACTTCTTACACTAGCATGGCTATAATCAAAAAGACAGGTGTCGGTGAGAATACAGAGAACTTGGAACCTCCTTGCACTGCTGGTAAGAATGTGAAATGGCGGCTCGCCTGTGGCTCAAGCGGCTAAGGTGCCAGCCACATACACCTAAGGTGGCGGGTTCGAATCCCCAGCCCGGGCCCGCCAAAAAAA